CTGGGTAACACAGCCCATTGGTGACATGTGCTCCCTTTACTGATTTTATGACCCCATTAATCCGTGCCTTCTGCAATGTTTAAAGAAAGCAATGGGTTTGTGATATTAAAATTAGAAGCAGAGTTGTGTTCCCAACAGCCTCCCTAGAGTATGAGACAAGAAGAATTGTTTGTGTGCCTCACTTCTCTGTCTCTTTGTTTTGATTTTTAGAGTCCTATCACAAATTCAACAGCAGTCACATTTTTGGCAGTGATGTGTGCAGCGGTTCCAGGGTAGTGATTGGTTGCCCCACCGCTTGGAATTTCCCAAACTTGCATTAACAAACCTCAGTGGAATTCCATGTGGCAGATAAATGATAAATCTGAGAATTATTGCTGTATGTATGTATGTCAAGACATAATGAATGATTTATTTATTAGATTTCTATCCTACTTTTTTCTTATACAAACTCAAAGAGGCTGACACCATGCAACAAAGTTGTTTGTTCTTTGGGCTCAGTTCAAAGTGTTCACCTTAACCTTTAAAGCTTTATAAATGGTTATCTGAGGGAGCACATTCATTAGTAATCTGTCTACTTCGTGTAATCAGAAGGAGAGGCCCTTTTGAAGGCACCTGTGCTTGAAGAGGCCCACTTGTTATGCACATGGGAGAGGGCCTTTTCTTGTATTGCTCCCAAAGTTTGCAAAATACTCCCTTTGGAGCTGTGACTGGTCCTCACTCTTTGTGCATTCAGGAAGGAGTTTTTAATTTTGTTTTTAAAGGTTATTTTAAACATTTATTCATGTTTTTATCTGATTATGTTTTTACTTTCTGAAATCCTTGTAAACCACCTTGATTGGTACAGATATAACAACAAATAAGCAACAAGTAAGACCTTTTTAAAGTAGTGAAAAAGATCAGCCAAAAGCATCGAGGCATCTTCAGCAGTTGTTTTAATCCTTTCAGAATCTTTCTGCACTGAGAACCAAGTTTTCCTGCTTAACACTCTCTTCAAGGCATCCTTCACCTCCTTGTTTCTCAGGCTGTAGATCAAAGGATTCAACATGGGATTCACCACAGTGTAAAAGACTGAGACAACCCTGTCTTCAGTTGGTGAGGCGTCTGAGCTGGGTCGCATGTACATAAAAACAGCCGTTCCAAAAAATATCACAACAACCATCAAGATGCACAGGTGGAGAAGGCTTTGTGCCAGCCTTCGGCGGAATGGATTTTCAAGATGGCAGATACAATGTAGATATAAGAAATACATATTTCCAGTGTGATGAAGATCCCGTTAAAGATGCAGAAGGCAAACAGAATAATCTCGTTCATGCTGGTGTCAGTGCAGGAGATATTGAGAAGGGGAATCACATCACAGAAGAAATGGCTGATGACATTGGAGCAGCAGAAGGATAGGTGGAAAGCACAGCTTGTGTGTCTCATGGAAATCGCAAAGCCACAGATGTAAGAACCAAGAAGGAGCTTTAGGCAGAGTTGGTGGGACATGATGGCGTTATACAGCAAGGGGTTGCAGATGGCCACATACTGATCGTATGCCATTGTGGCCAGGAGGAAGCACTCGGTAGTCCAAATGCGATGAAGCTGTACATCTGAGCGGCACATCCGCCGAAGGTGATGCCCTTGCTCTCTGAGAAGAGGTTTGTCAGGGTCTTGGGGGTGACGGCCGAGGAATAACAGAAGTCCAAGAAAGCCAGGTGGCTGAGGAAGAAGTACACAGGCGTGTGCAGTCGGGGTTCCACCCTAATTAAAGTGATCATGCCCAGGTTCCCTATCACTGACCAAGTACAGAATTAGGAACACCACAAATAAAGCACCTTGAAGCTCTGGCCTGTCTGTCAGTCCCAGGAGGATGAATTCAGTCACAGTAGTATAGTTTTCCTCAGGCATTTCCTATAATGACAGGATGAATATGATGATGGACAGCTGAAAGGTAGAATGAGCAGCAGTGGGGGTTGTTTCTGCTATGCCCTCTATTGCTTGTGGCTTCTCATGGTGGATTTCTGGTGGAAGTTCAGTCGATGGGAATTGAGGGAGACCTGTGACCTGTTCCGGCCTTGTCACATGGTTGCAGTTGGTGTGGACTGATGCCAGTGTGCTCCATCTTTCTGAAAAATACAACCACAGCCGTGATGCGAATGACCTCACATCCCTGTGGGGGAACGTAACCCTCCAGCAGCCTCAGGGCTTGGCGCAAGAGCTGCAGTTCTCATGGCCTACACAACCTCCCTCCTACAGGGTGCCTTCCATTAACATTATTCTGATGATTGTTCTAATACAACAGAAGAACGGTGTGCAGAATCTGGGTGTCGCAGTGGGGGAGAAAGAGCTTATGCTTTAAAGTGACTTCTCCACACTTCAGGCCTAGAGGTGATTTAAATACAAACCACGGAGAGGGTAAGTGCCTCAGAATATTTTGTCTGGGTTCGTTGCAAAGGGCGACCTGTCCTCTCGCTTCTCTTTCCATCCAATAGGTTCTGTTTACTCAGGGTGCAACCTTATGCATGTTTAGATGGGGAAAAATGGGTTTGCAGCTGCCAGAATACTTCAGCTAGGACTTTTTCATCTAAAAGTGCACAGGGTTCCCTATTCATTTTTTCCTTTGATTTATACCACATTCTTCTACCATGCAAATGGCAGTCATGGTAGCCAACAACAAGAACCAGCATTCAAAACAGGGACAGAAGAGGAGGAAGGAGAGATTTATGGACCACCATTTCCTATGCTTTGCCAGGCGCGTCTTAGCAAAGTGGAAACATAAGAAAGCAGAATGAGGCTTTTTCCCCTTTTCATTTTTCCCTTTTTATTTGGGCTTTTTTGAAGTCACCAATGAGTGTTATTATTACTAGGTATAACCTTTACAGCCTTATCAGTCTCCATTAAAATGGGCTTCTGACAAGCATATTGTGTGAGCAATTGAATGTTTGATAAAAGGCAAACGAAATAATATAGCCAAAAGCAGTAAACAAAAAACAAGCTATTACCTCCATAAGATCAGCTCCTATAAGTAGCTTACACAGAAGACTGTTGCAATGCCAACCCCCTCCCCACACGGCATTTCATCTCTGCCTATTGCTCATCAAGGAAAGTATGCTCATTTTGTTCCAGACAATTGTATGGCTTAGCTTATATTGAATTATTTGTCCTTTTAGCACCTCTTCCTACCTCATCTGTCTGAAGTTTCCCTTCTCATTGCTTCTAATGGGAGGAAAAGAAACCATGCCAGCTCAAGGAAAATGAGGAGGAGGAGGAGGAGGAGGAGGAGCTGGAACCCAGAGTCATAGTGGAAAGAAAGAGTCAGAGCTGCTGGGACTCGAGAAGGGGTTGAAAGAGTGCTGGATCTATGATAGTTCACATTGCTCCGAGAAGGAGTCTAGATTAAATAAGGACACAGTTGGTTAAATGAGCTTGAACCCTGATTGTTTAATTTGTTGGTTACATGGATGTGTCTCTGTGCTTTGTATACCTTCAGATTTAAAACCCTTTCCCCCATTGCTCCTTTTCTTCAATAAACTAAACAATAAACATTATTTGAAATCTAGTGGCTTTTTTAATTTTGGGATTACTCCTCTCACATCGAATATACCCCCATCCCCATTGCCTAAAGTTGATACCTGAGACCCAGAGATGATTTTTTACCCGGTGGTGCTGGTAAAGGCCAGATGAAAGGAAGGGGAGGGCAAAGATGAGTGGGGCACATTATTTTCCCTGTTATGCCTTCCAGTCATGGGAAGGGATGCTGTCATCCTGGGGCAGCGAGCAAGTGCTATCCATGGTTGCGATACTATTCCTGGGTCATTGAGAGACCCCAGAAGGTGGATCTGGAAGGTCCTCTGCCCTTTTTCCATGGAAATTATCCTGTGGGGTTCCAGAAGGATCCACCACATCTCCCATGCTTTTAAACATCTACATGGAATTACCGGAAGGGTTCGTCAGTGCCTTGGAGGCAGGTGCCATCAGTTCCCTGGTTCCAACCAGTTCTCTTTCTTCTCTCCATTTGATACAGCTATGGTGGTTTTATCTTTGAATCTCTGCTCAGCATCAATAATGGCCTGAATGAAGGTGGGGAAATGGAAACTCTACCCTGGCATTATGGTGCTGTTCATGGTAGCTGTTCCTTGGATCCTTTAAAAACATAAATTCCACTCTCTGAGAGATCTGGAATGCCCATGGAGGGAGGGGGTTGTGACCTGGCATGCCTTCTCTTAGCTTCAGCTGATTCAGCAGTGGTGCCCCCTTTTATCATACTTGTATCTGTATTTTCACTGTATTTGTGAGAAATCATTGTGAACTGCCCAGAGAGCTTCAGCTACTGGGAGGTACAGAAAATCGTCACCGTCATTGCAACAGCAGAAAGACCTTGCTACCATGCATAACTAGCCTAACAGGAAACAGCTTGGACTACATTTGGTTGCTAATATGGAATCAAGTTGGTGTTTGTGGCATAGCACATTAGCATTGCAAGAGTTTGACTGGCTGTGAACTTATTTCTGGCCTGCATTAAAGAAGCTGGGGCCAAGTTCTAGATACTGGGAATGTAGTTCTTTAATAGTGAGCCTCCCGCAGCATGTAGCTCTTCATACATAGAAATGTAATAATAATAATAATAATAATAATAATAATAATAATAATAATACATGGAGGTGTAGCGAAGAGTCACATGAAAGCCTCCACCACCTCCATCAGAGATGGAACTGACTTTTAAGGCAATTCAGCCTTTTCAGGGTGGCTCCCCTCTCTGGCAGTTCTCTTTCATAAGATCCAGTTGCTGATGCTTTCAGAAGAGTAGTTCTGTTGTTCATTAAGTAAATTTTGGAGTTACTCTTGTCCTACTGTCTTAGTATATTTGCTAGGTATTGTCAGCTTTAAGCCTGAAGCCCTTTGTCTTCACAATGCAATGAGAAACTGAAAAGTTGTCAGACTTGCTGTGCTCCATGTGGACCCATAGAGAATGGCTCTTCTGCTTCCCTGCAGAATGAAAATTTCTGAGCTCTAGCAAAAGCTTAGCTTATGGTGCAATTAAGTAGAATGTTGAATGAGTTTTTAAAACATGCTGATTCGTATTTATGAGATGCTGCCTATGATATTGTAAGCATCTCTTTCACAAAATCATTTTTTAAAACATCACCAGATATCGAAACTATTAGAACATGCTACAGCAGAGAACAGGGTCTGGTGCCTTTTCAAAATCAAGTGTCCAGCCTGGTTCTATACGTGTTCATTCTCACTAAGTACATTCAAGGAAGACCTGCTCCCAGTAAGTGTTCACAGAATTAGTCTTTACTAATAATTAAGGGTCTGCTTTTTCCCATGTAGTATTAAGGTTTATAAAGCCTTGCAACACTCCCAGCTTGCAAACTGAAAAGGGCTCACATGCAGGCAGAGCTGGTCTCTTTCTACTTTGCTCTGGTTGCTTTGGGAGGGACCTGCTAGTCCTCTGAGACATCCTTAAGTGATTCTTGCAAATATGCTGAACTCAGGCTTAATTGAGATGTGATGGCTACAACCCCCCCCGCCCTGCTTTTTTTTTAGTTTGTTTGTGCACCCCATTCATTTATGAAGTCGGTGGTGGGTTGTGTGGGATGATTTCCATAAAGGTAGAATATGGCATTGCAAGCTGTGTGGTGCAGGGGTTAAATGCTGGACTGGGACTCAGGAGGTCTCAGTTCTGTCCCCACTCAGTCATGAAGCCCATTGGGTGACTCTGGGCCTCTCACAGACTCACACTCTAACCTACTTCACAGAGTTGTTGTTGTGAAGATAAAAAAGAGAAGAGGAGAACCTTATAAGCTGCCTTGGGTGCCTAGTAAGAGGAAGAAAGGCAGAGGATAAATACAATATAACAGCAATGTTGGGATAGGTCTCCTTTTCTTCTCCAGAGGCACAGCTCTTCACACATAGATTCCAACCCCACATCCTTATTTATTTATTTAAGGTATTTCTATACCATTTGATTAGACAAGCTCTCAGAATGGTGTACAGAATATATTTAAAACTATCAGATAACCACTGATTTAAAAACAGGTTTAAAACAAACTTCCTATCATAACACATCCATACAACAATGAAATTGGACGGGCTTATGATAAAACGATAATAAAACAATACATAGTAAAATAATAACTGCCGTTCCATCTGTACTAAAACAGTTTAAAAGCCAATATAAACCCATATAGCATAATCAAGAATTAAAATGGCAGGAAAATAAGATTGGTTTGACCTGGCACTGAAACATGTATAACGTTGGTGCCAGACATATTTCCCTTAGGAGCTCATTCCACAGATGGGGTGCCACAACCGAGAAGGCCCTTCCCCTCATAGCCACCACTTTACCCAACACTGAAATACCCAAAACTTAAGAAAGAGAGAGGAGAGTATCAGATTGGAACTCGGGGTGTGGGCAGGTCCCAGTCTTCACTCATGAAACTGCCTGGGTGACCCTAACTCAGTTCCTATCCATCAATTCATTTCTCATAGCCCTTGGTTTCCAGACCCACAAAGAAAAGAAGATGAGGCGAGAACATGATTGCTGTCACGCAGAAGATAAAGTGGAGTTGTCTGCTCTTCATCCAGAGTGCCAGACTTGAAGCAGTGGGAGAAAATTGCAGGGAAGCAGATTTCTGGTTAAACATTCAGCAGTGCAACGGTTTGCCTTCTCAAGTGGTAGGTTCTCCTTTGCTGGAGGTATCTGAGCAGAGGCCGAACAGCTCTCAATCAGGGATCCTGCACTGCAGGGGGTTGCTCCAGACAAGTTTCAAGCTCTATTCTCATCAGAGGAGGCTGGTGACTCCTAAACCATTAGGGCTGCTCATCCCTTGCAGCTGTTATCTCAAGCTTTATGGGACCTCAGGATAACATGGTGCTGAACTTCATCTCCCAAATAGGCTTCCATTGGAAAGCTCCTTTCCAGCCTGGAATAAAAACGGCAATAGATAGCATTGCATCATGGCGTTCATAGCATACAGACTTTTGTTGTTATTTTTGTTGCATACTTAGTTTGTACTGCTCAATGATTTCTGCATTCACTGAGAAGGAGTCTCATCCTCATGGATTTCCTCAAAGCCCCCTTCACCTCCTTGTTCCTCAGGCTGTAGATCAGAGGGTTCAACATCGGGACCACCACCGTGTAGAACACGCTTGCCGCTTGGTCTCAACCCAAGGAGTAGCTTGCGTTGGGACATAGATACGTAAATATCAGAGTCCCGTAGAAGTCTGTGACGGCTGTAAGGTGGGAGGTGCAAGTGGAGAAGGCCTTGTGTCTGCTGTGAGCAGAACGGATCTTCAGGATGGCAGACAGGATGGACAGGTAAGAGAAGAGGATGATGAGGAGGGAGCCGGCCGCCGTTAGCCCAGTCAGGAAAGAGATGATCATTTCGGTGTCGTGGAGCTAATAGGGGAGGGGTATCACAGAAGAAATGCCTGATGATGTTAGAGCCACAGTACTGCAGCCTGCTTAGGAAGCAGACTGTTATCATGGCGTTTGTGAAGCCGATGAGTGACGAGCCGGCGACCAGCGGGACGCAGACCTTCTTTGACACGACTGCAGAGCAGAGCAGTGGGTTGCAGATGGCCATGAAGTGGTCATAAGCCATTGCAGCCAGCAAGAAACACTCGGTGCACACCAAGGCGACGAAGAAGTAGAGCTGCGAAAAACACGCCTTGAAGGACATTGATTTCCCATCTGCTAGGAAGCTCATTAGTAATCTTGGGGTGACGACCGACGAGTAACAGATATCGACAATGGACAAGTTGCAGAGGAAGAAGTACATCGGAGTGTGAAGCTGGCTGCTGACCCTGATTAGCAAGATCACCCCCAGATTCCCCATCAGGGTGAAGATGCAGATCACGAGGAGCACCACAAACAGGGGAAACTGCTGCCCTGGACCCTCTGCGAATCCCAGCGGAACGAACTCCCTCACCATGGGGCAGTTCCCCTCTGTGGCTGTTTCGGCATTCTGAGCTCCGCAGAGCAAGGAAGGGGCCGTGATGCCAGCCACCCACTCCTCACACGGATATTTCAACTGTCGCAGTGAAACAGGCTCAGACAGGGTGCCCTGTCTAATGAAGCCTGTACTCAGGGAGGGTGGGAGAAGGTGAATTTTAACTCGGGGAAGGTAGACCTCCCCACATATGATGCAAGGCCACTCCTCTCAACGTGCCATCCTCTAGACTAGCGCAATGTGCCACGAGCATAAGAAAGGGTTTGGATCCAAGATCAAGGTTCTGCCTATGGGACCACAGCACTCAGGGTGCTGAGCACCCTCCAGATCTGTCCTCTGCTGGCAGAACCACAGTCTTGCATCCAACCCAGAGACCACACATTCAGCTCGTACAGATCCAGCCACACAATTGCATCCACAAATGGGACAAGATCATATCTGATTTGGAATCTAGAAGGCTGAGCCCACTCTTCAGAGCAGCCACTTCCGGTGGATCTGCTCCAGCCCACCCTGAATCTCACCACTGCCTCTATGGCCGTGGCCGCCTCTGCCCTCGCAGTGGCTCTTGTTCTATGCATGATGTCTCCGCTTGAGGGAACTCATGCTCCGTGTCCTATCTGAAGGTGCACCGACTTATCCTGTGAGATGCGGCCCCCCAAAGGGCCGGGCCAGGCCAGGCCAGGCCAGGCCCTGTTTGTGTGCTAACAAGAGAACGGGAAAGGCTGCAGCAGAGCATCTGCTCTGCATGCCAAAGATCCCGGGCTCAGTCCTCGCCAGGGAGAGTTCTTGCCAGTCAGCATAAACCATTCTTCTCCAACCAGATGCTTTCCAGATGTCCTGCACTACAATACATATCATCTCCAGATAGCATGGTGGTTGGGAGTTGTAATCCAAAATATCTTGAGGGCAGCAGGTTGAAGAAGGCTGATATAGATGGCATTGAGATGAGCAAAACTACCTCTGAACTACGTACATAAATCTGCACTAGTTTCATCATGGAAAATAACCTTGGGTTTCCATTCACACAAAAGCTATGGACAAAATATCGTGACCACCTGGATGGCACTTTCAAGAGTTCAGAGTGCATCATGTGCAGCTGTAGTGCCCACAGCAACCAACCTGACTCCCTCCAGATGTTTTCAAGTTCAGCTCCTGTTAGTGTGGCCAACATGGCCAATGGTCAAGAAGGCCGGGAGCTATAGTCCAAATACCAGGAGGGAGCTAGGCTGGGGAGGGCTGTGATCAGGTGGGTCAGTATTATTGCCACCCGTATTCCAGATGGGAGGACTCAGGCAGAGAGAATGGTCTGCTTGCTCCACCGCTCTGTCTCTCTGCCACCCAGCCAGGCCAGTAACATACACGGAGAATGAAGAAAGAGGAAGCTCACCTTGGGCTCTGGAAGGTCATCATGTTTGTTCAGAGAAGCTGCATCAGCAGTGAGAAACAGGCTTGGGAAGTTTGCTCTGCTTCTGGCTAAGGCTTAGGGCTTGTTGTCTAGCAGAGAACTCCATTATCCATTGATTGTCAGTTTGGGAAATCTAATACAGACTACTCAAGTTTCTAGTTCTTACTACAAATGTTCGGGTATTTGACTGTTAAACCAGTCCACATAAACCCACCCCATTCCCATCAAGCTATATCATGAATCATCTGAAAGTTCAGGTCTCTAATGCAACAAGGGAGAAGTGATGCTCTTGGGAAAGTAGTCAATTCTTTGCTGCAATATCCCTAGCTCCTCATGGCAAACTTATCCATTATTAGACTTTCTGAAATGGTAGTTTGTTTTTCTTTGTAGCATATAAAAGCCTTGCAAACTATTTGCTTCTGACTTAGATCACCCAGTGTTGCAGCACTAGACTTTGATATTCGGTCTCAGCTCCACCCTTAAGCAATGCTTCCAAATTCAAGTGACTTCTATTTCACTGGCTCACGACCTCTCTCCTGCTCCCCCACAAAGGAAAAGCAGCCTGGAAGCTTTTAACTCATATAAGCCAAAACATTATTCTTTCCTCAAAACAAAATTCACTCAGACATCTCCACATCTAGATGGAAATAGTGCATTTCCCAAGCAATGGCTTACAATGTGCTGTACATTCCACAGGCAGAGAAGCTGATTAAGGCACCTCTTGTCCAGCTGAGGCACATGGGGCTTGTGGTGCTTTCCTGCTTATTGCAAGATCAAAGAGTGATCAAGATTGCAGAGGTAGATTTTCAGGATGAGAGTGACTTGTCTTCATCATCTGTAGCATTCACTGATTTCCATTGGACATTGTCCGAAAATAGAAATAATATCCCCGCACTCCAATCTGAGGCTGAGTGTATGCTTTTATGTGAGAGAGGGAGAGGGCAGAAGGAGGTGGAGGAAAAGAGGACAATTTACATAAAATATAAAGCCATACTTATACAGCTTCTAAGTGAAGCAGCTCTACTTTTGTTCGCCTAGGCCAAAATCTAGGCCAAAAGTCTGTTAAAATGCAGGGCATGTAAAGCCCCAGATACATAGAAGGGACTTGATGGCACAGCAGTATTTATCCATGTCTTGGGCTATCTTCACTTGCTCTAGCAAACACAGGGGAGGCTTCTGAAGTTCCAAACACACATGCACGTGCATGTGCACACACACACACACACACACACACACACACAGAGGGGAAAAATTGTGCAGCACTAAGACGGCTCATTATCTTCATTACCTTCAAAGTCTTGAGAAATTGATTGCAGGATTGTCAGTTACTCAGGCTGATTTTGAAGTAGAATTGAAACATTTTGCATGCCTGTAGGCTTTTGGGAAATCACTGGCCAGTTGTGAGTGCAAGAGGAAGCGATGCACTGGTGCTTGGGTGGTCACTGCAAAGCCGTGGAAGTGTGGCCATGCTCTCCGCCATGGGGGCCGCAGAAACATCTGGCGACAGGACAGCAAATCCTTGGTTGTGGATAACAGGTCCTATTACAGGATCAGTTGCCATTTGAAAGAGTTCTGAAAGTTTCCAGCATATGTATACTTCAAAGTAGACTGTGACCAAAGGAAGCAGAGATCATGTTAAAAATGATAGCTTCCACCTCTCATATCTTTTCAGGCTGTGTTCTTATGCACAAATTGCTTCTGTACATTGTTCGAATTGCACTGAGCTTTTAGGGGTTTAAAATATAATCCTGGCTATGTTTTAGTCCTCAAGAAATTAAGAGAAGTTTTATATCAGTGCATAAGACCTGCACTTTTATGGTTGTATAGCTGTGTATTAAATTGCCTTAATAGCACCAACAATAACAGTCTCACCTTTCCATAAAAATACCCATTGGCTAGGAATAATAAAATCCACAGCCAGAGATAACCTATACAGTTTTATAATGTATATTGATATTCTTTTGCTTGTAAGCTCATTGTGAAATCCATTCTGTCTGCGTTCTGTGGATTGTAAGGTATCATTTGTTTCATCTTCTGCTCATTGATGAAATTGGATTACTTGAAACCAGATTTTCATTCTTCTTGTGCTAACTCATGTAAATGCTAATGTGCACTTGTGTACTTGTACAAATGTGCTAATGCACATAAATTCACCTAGAAGCAAAATACTGGTCTTCTCATTTGCTGAATCTGTGTGACTTGGGAAAAGCTGGTGCTCTGCAGAATTCACAAACAGGATCGACAGAAGTCTGCACTTATTTCGGTCCACTGCAGATTTCTCCAATATCCCTACTAAAGCCAGTGACTAAGTTGTGGATTTCCCAGAGAGATGCAGCTATTGGGTGAATACAAATGATGACAAAAACAATGATAATAGTGATAACAGTGCCCTAACCCAGGTTGGGGGTTTATGCAGGTGACTGCCTGCGTATCCCTAGCAGGATGGGAACACACACTTCCTTTCTTCGAGTAATAACATGTAGAACACAATAAGGAAGTTTATGAAAGGAGTCTCTGGAAGTTTAAGGGATTCTAGAATTAGCCTGTCTGTTCCATCTTTCCCACCAAACAGCTGTTCAGTCTTATTTTATTTTTACACACAAATATTGCATGCACAGGCCTATCCATTCTGCATATGTCTGTTGGATCAGAGCTAAGGTTTTTGACACAATTCATTCAAAAGTGCAACTGGGAGCAACATTTAGTAATTATTCTGGTAAAAAAGTTAAAGGTTAAATGTTGAATATTCTATGATTTGTTTGAAACTCATCCACACACCTTAACCATTCCTGCAAAATTGCATGGCCTTTAACGCAACAGTTATTTTAATACCCTAAAACATGACTTTTTCAAAATCCGATCCAATCTAGTCTTTCTATTACAAGCCTCTCATGGTGGCTATAGTCCTTTTGCACATCACATTTGGCAGATAAAATTTACTTATTTATAATATTGGGCTCCTGGGTTTTGTAAAAAAAAAAAGCCTTGAGAGGGTTTGCACAACAAATATTAAGGGCACAGTGCTATGGCTAATAGGTTTGGCCTGCCAGTGGAAAAGACAGAATTCCCATTGCAACCTTGGAAAAGCCTTCCGAAGGCTGAAGGCTGTCTTTGGAACAGGTCCAGAGGGTAGAGAAGGGAGAGTGGGGCATTCTGACTTCTGCTAAATCCAGGTGTTGCCTGAGCCCATCTTCCTCATGAGGAGGGAGAAATATCAATGACCAAAAAGGGCTCTCTGAACGTTCTTGAGAGTGAGGAGAGGGCAAAGGCAATCCTGGCCTCTCTGCTCTTCCCCACACTAAATGGGATGCTGCCGGTAACCTTCCATGTTTGAAAGGTACAATGTACCTCCAATGTACAACGGCATGGGAAATGCAAGCATGAAAAAGTTAAACAAACACACAAAGGCAGCATTAAAATACACCGATGGATAAAGGGACAACAGAGTCAGAAGGCAGCAGAAGAAAACGAGGAGCAATAGAGGACAATTCAGAGGGTCAGATGTGATAAGTTATTGAAGAGGTAGAGGATTCAGTTGTTGCCTGAAACCCAGGTTCATAACACCCTACTACAGAAA